TTTCAATAATTTTTCCTAATTATAATAAAAAATAAAACCCGTAGTGGTGATTAAATACCACCAAAAGAAAGCTCTATCTGTCCCCAAAAAATGGTATAAAATTCATTTCAGTACAGCGTTGCATGACGGAATAAACGTCAGTCAAAGTATCGCAGCGCTGAATACTGAAAAATGGCCTGGCCAGGAAGGGGGTCTAAACACCTGGTCTTGAAGTGGTTAAAGTGATATTGTAAGTTATTTTAAAAGCAGATTAAATCACTCACGATGCATGCTGATTCTTGATGTTTACATGTTTTAGCTTATTGGAGAATCAGCTGGGCCCCTGAGGACTGGCCCTGATATCCAGTTTTAGGGTGGCTCCTTTCCCTTGCAGGGTTGTATGGAGCCACCCTTGTGTGTGTTAGCAAGCTGCACAAAAACACAGGCACAGCATGGCAAGGCACTCCCCTGCCCCCCACTCCTTCTTTCTCCCTCCTCCCCTCTTCCCTTCTCCAAGCTAGGTAGATGAACAGCTGCTAGAGACTGTGCTGTCCCTTGTGATCTTGTACTAGATAAGTTCAGGGAAGCTGAGAGAGTTGGAGCCAGTTGTTTGGAAACATGATGACTGTAAGTGCTTGGGCAAAAATTTAAAGACATACGTTGCTGGGTAATGTTTGATTTAGAATTATTATAAAAAAAATTTTGAAGAGTTTAATACTAGTTTAATCCATCACTTTCTACTTTCCAAATTAGAACACCACTGTATTCTTGCAGTGAAACAATGTATTGTGACAAATTGGCTTTCTTCAAGATTTTACGCAAAGCCCACAGAAACTTGTACTTCTGGGCAAAACTCATTCGATTAAACAAAAGCAAAACTACCCTCAACAGTTCTGTAAAGCGTGGACCCCTTTTTTACAGCTTACTTTACTCCTGGCTCAACTGGCAGAAATAGTTGACACCTTAAAAAAACTAGGTACCACATGGCAAAAAGCCACAACGCTCTCCCAACTTTAACTTAATCAACCAAACTAAACCCAACCAATCATCACTTGATAAGGGAAACGCAAAACAAGATACATTTAAGATTACTAGAATGCAAACAAACCAAAGTTTTGCTTCTATGTGTGCATACACTGTATTTGTTTGTACAAGCATATGCCATATATTGCAATAGTCTCACCTCAGTGATGGGAATGAGATGACTTAAACAAAGCTTGACATCATGCTAGGGCTTGTTTATGTACATCATACTTGTCCTACTCCTACTACTGTACTATCTGTACATTTGTCTTTTTTACATGAAAACCAAATAAAATTAATATGGAAAAAAACATCCTTACCCATTGTGTGCCCTCAAACATTTTTAGATCCAGTGGGTCTCCTTGTAGTTTTCCATCAATAGATACTAAAGAGTGGCAGCAGCTCAGTGCTCCGAGAAGGGGGCTCCAAGGCAAAGTGTCATCTGATGTAAAGTTATGAATTTTCTGGAAACTAATGGAAACACATTGAAAATATTTAAAGCTCATTCAGTGTCACATTTTACTTTCAAAAAGTATTTTCTAATAAAAATGTAATAGTTGAATAAAATATTTAGGTGCCTCTGTTCTGAAATTTGAAGATACATTTCTCCAAAATGCATATAGCTACATAAGTGGATGAGAATGTGTTTAAAGTGCTTTTGATGTTTGTTCAGAATATGTACAGTAAATACTTTAGTGTGCATAGTCTGGGCACAGGTTGACTTTAAGCAAGCATATGAATGCTGCATAGATTTTAGCACAGACTTTTTCCTCCTTGAATGGGTTGATGACTGTTGAGCACTATAAATCCATGTTCCCTCAATAGGGCAGAAGGTAGGAGACTGCAAATGTCCGAACAGAGTAAAGATGTCTTGCGATGTATAAATATGGCACTGCTTTGCCTAGCATCTAGATCAGAGTTCCTGCATTGGTCAATAGACATTTTCACCAGTATATGGAACCTACCAGTTTCCTTGAGAAGGCAGCACTCCCCAAAGGTCTAAACCGTCTTCTGTTAGAGTTCCCGTCTGCCATAAAATCAAGTTATTAAATAATTGTTAAAAAATAAATGATTTTTTTTAACTATTGATATTTTTAATATTTACTTCCTTTTACATAAATGATTTAAACGCATGCATGCTATTCTGTACATGGCTCATAAACAAAGAACAAACTTACTGTAGGTGCAAATAATACCATAAAGTGATTGAATTAAGAGAACAAGGGATAGAATATACATTTTAAAAAATGTCATATTCTGCAATATGATTGCACGCTTACCTTATCAAAACAAATAATGTTCAGCCGACCACATACATTGATCCTTTGAGGACTAATGCAAAAAATTCCCTTTCTTTTGAGTCTGCGCTGTGCATACATGATTCCTGTAGACAAAGCAGCTGACAGTGCTGGAGGGACAGCAGTAGTAATAATGATTAAAGCTTTGATCACTACTTGAGTGGGAGACTCCTAAAAGACAAACAGATGTATTGTTTTATAATACTATATCAGATAATATGTATGATAAGTTTCAGTGATAATCTTGTAATGCTGGAGATCCACTTGAATTAGCATTTAAGTACCACTTTTGCTGCTGAATTGGGATAACACCTATTTTATGTTACATTTCTTTTACATAGCATAACTTAAAAAATAAATAAATACATTTCTGCTTTCATAAAACATGCTCAATTCTCAAAGACAGGTTTTTCTCTGTATTGAGTTTGCCTTAGGTGGCTGGGGAGGGTAATGAGGTTAAGGGGCTCCCTTACAAAGATTTTCCCTCATTTCCTGTTCAAGTATTACCAGGCAGGAAGTTAGGGAAATTCTGTACTTGGGGAAACATAGAATAAAAAGCTGATACATTAAAACTATTCCAGTTGAATTTGTTTGAACTTCATGTTGTTATACAGGTCCAATTATTGTCATATCTTACCCCCTTTAAGACAAAAACAGCCACAGTGTAGATTGTTCCAATCACAGCAACTCCAGCTAAAATCATCAAGAATCTGAAGGCATCTCTATACAGTTTAAAATTCATGGGTTTTGGGTACAAGATAGATCTGACCAAATCTCCTTTAGCAGTATTAAATCCTGTGCATACAAAAAAAGTATTTAATGAGAACAAAACATGCTTTACAAATACACAGATTAATACTAATAATAATTAAATAAACTCAAAACAGTCATGCGTGTACATTTATTCAATTCTGTTTTTTTAAACTTTGTACTAACCAGTTCTTAGGACAACTGCCTTCACTTGCCCGTGGCTAGCTGGCTTCGTCTGAATGACTTCTGTTCCACAGAAAAGTATATGTCTTTTGAAATCCTCTCCACTGTGCGCCTTCCACGGCATGGTATGGTTATTGTTGGGTAGGGAAGTTTTAGAGACAGGAATACTTTCACCTGTTGAGAAAAAAACAGCACTCCTGACATTGTTAAATGTTAAAAAAGGACATCCATTGAGTTTCCTTTTCAGTCTTGTACATAGGATTCTCTGCAAGTGTTAGAGTACATGAAGAAAGTGTTATTCTTCCTATATCCACTTTGAATGATCATGAACCCTAATAGTACTTACTTCGCAGGATGCAACAAGGTCAAACTGCAGCATTGCTTAAAGTCTAAGCATAGGAACATGAATACTGCAGATACAACATCAATTCTGCAGGTTCATTCTCATAATTTTTCCATAAAAATCTGTCTATGATATAAGTGGAATTTGAAAAGGGGAATCATAAATGTGGCTACATACACTTCAAATTGATCTTGGCAAAACACCACACTGGGGATAAAGGATACAAATTAATTTAAACTTTATTTTTATAAATGTATAGCAAGATTAGTATGAAGGGATTACTGCACACCATCTTCAGTCTGACCTATCATTATTGTAACAACGTAGGAGGATCTATTTATAAAGCTATAGACTGGGCCAATGCCGTTCGCGTGGCATTTCCACCACTGGCCGGAGCTGAGAGGCATGGTAAATTCCTATACTCCATCTAGTAGCAAGATTGCGGTGTGACTGGGCAGAAGATTTATAAATAGGCATTAAAGTGTTTACTCATGGAACAACCTTGATTCATGTAGACCTTCTCTTACAGACTGGTACAACTGGCATGGCAATCCGCCCCAGCTGCTGACTAAGATCACAATTGTAAGCCCACACCACGTCCATAACATTAAAATGTGAAAACAAAAATATACAAATACAATTCTAAAAATATAAAATTATGAAAAATATGAAAATTAAAAAAATTAAAAAATAAATAGCAGAACAAAAGTTACTGTATAACATAAAAGTGGGAATCATCTTGTGTAATTTAACACATTAGGTATCCTAGCAGTCAGCTTAAAGACCCAGAACACCTTTTTTGAAAACGACAAAAACTTGTCACCTCTAAATTATTGTTTTTTTTCAATACTTTAAATTAAAAAGTTATAGATAATAAATTATGATAAATAGTTTATGTATTCCTTATGTTTTTTATATGTCAATAGAGTGGTCCTATATTCTAAATATAATATAAAAGGTGTGTCCATACACACCAAGAATTTTTTTTTAAAAACCATTATGGTTTAAATAAGAACTCCAGGAAAAAAAATTCTAAACCCTTGTTGAGGGGATACCCATGTGGGGTTAACTGCTCATTTTTGTCTAGGTAAAAAAAAATTATACTCTGCAGCGGTCTAAGGTCCAGTAAATCATCATGCTCTATACACTGGTTTAGAGCTTCCGATGAGTATAACTTTGTTATTTTAGCACCAAGACAAAAACTAGTTTTTGGTCCTTGCAGTGCAGGGGCAGCCCAACTTAGAGGGTTAAGAAGATGTTTTCCTGGATATCTTCTTTAAAAGTATTCTGGGATCTAAACAGAACATATATTAGTCTGTCTTGCACTGTATGCATGTATACCTGTAAGCATGCTTTCATTCACAATACATCCTCCATTGAGAAGTATGGCATCACATGGTAAGAACTGCTTCTTTCCTGTAACAACGATTACATCCCCTGGCACCAAGCAGTGTGACTCTATCTCTTTACATTCTGCAAGAAAATGTATAAAAAGGATGTAAGTAATACAATAAATGGCACAGCATTTTTTTTAACTGACAAGGTATTTAAAGGCATTGCTGATAAACTGGTTAACAAAGCCATGTGAATGCCATGTCAGTGCTGAACGTAATGACATGGTTTGGTTTATCATATGTTGTATTAAACTCTATAATTTATGATTATGCTATTGAATTGTTTATACTTTTTATAGCATTATCATTATGATATTTCACTAATTGCACCTTACATAAAAAATCCTTTTCTCAGAACCTGGTCATAGCAAATATTGTCCTCCCCCATCTTTAGCTCAGCACATGCCATTACTCTGTTTTTGCACACCCAGCATATGTGAAAAATTATAGAGGAAACTGTGGTAGAAAACAGAAGCAGTGCATGGTCCAGATGTAGGCTGCAACTGACACCCATCATCCAGACAAGAAGGAGAGCTCTACCTTGTGGGGACAAAGACAGCAAAAGAATCATGTCAGAGGTTCTAAACTTTACTTCCTCTGCAAGATAATTTATTTTTGTTACTTTATTTGTCCCACCTAGGGTATATCCCCCATATTTGAATGTAGGTATCATAGAGGAAATTATACCACTAACCAATATGGAGAATATTCACTTCCTATTCTGTCGGACACCAGGAAGTGAGAAAAACCCTCTAAAATGGGGAACCCAACAACAATACATAGTTAACACAGGTTCCAACCCTTCCACACTCCATACAGCATAGAAAAAAAGTGTTAGCCAGGGTTGGGCATTGATGTGTAGATAAATATTATGCAGAAGCTCTCTCAATACTTTACATTTACCCCGACTATATTTTAGTATGCCCTTTATGTAACGTGCCTCCATTTTTCTGACGTATGGTCACCTTGACAGTGTTGTTGGATTTCACCAGGTTATGAAGTTTCACAGATTCCTGTAGATAAACAGGGATATAAAATGTTCATGTATGTTTTATTTGTGATTGTAGAATATTCAAAAAACACTATTGTTTAAGTAAGATAACATGGAGGGAAGAAGGGAATACAGATATCAAATCAGTGTCAAATCGAAGCAGTATTAGGTTTAGTGATGAGATGTCACTGTACCATAATTGCACATGACTAAAAAATGCTAGTACCTTACCTTTCTTAAGTCATAAACTGTAAAAATGATGGAAATGAGAGTCATTATAATAACAGCAATTGAATATTCAATGAACCCCACGGCCAACCACAGAGCTAAACTGCAAACTTCAAAGGCATAAAAGGGGTTCAACACCTAAAAGAAAAGAAAATGCAAAAAAAATGTGAAAATATTGGAAATACCAAGAGAAATGCTGTCATCCTACCACAATAAAAATTAGAAAAATGTAACAATTAGTGGTCTATTTATAAATAATACCTGTGAATGCTTGTTTTGTGCAAATAATGGCAAAACAAATGTTTTTATGTTCTTAATATGTTTTCTTTTCAGGTTGAATGTATTGTGATGTAATAATGCATTATGGTCACTAGATGGAGCCGAGGAGTATAGGAAAATAGTACTTCATTGTTTATAAGTAGTCCCTCACTATGGCCTCTCAGATCCTTTTACTCATATCAGAAATACAACCAAACATTTGCTATAGCTTTGGATATAGTGGGACAGGCTTACAACCCCTGTCAGTTTTTTGTCGGAATTTTTTCTGTCTTTGCCTCTGCTGAAAAGATTTACAGTCATTAGTTGCTGTCAGCAGAATATGAGGGGAACAGGTAGTGAGTAGGAATTCTTCCAAAGGGAACACTGATTCGAGTGACAACTGTTAAAGGTGGGATTTTCTCTCCCTTTGGGAAGATTTCCATTCACTTCATTTTGTGCATCTAGGACTGGAAGTGAAGGGAAATCTATTACCAGATAACCTGGGACGCTGATCTCCAGACAGCCCAACTCTTCCGGACGCTCCGGGAGTCTCACGCTATTAGATAGCGGCTCCCGGCTCCTGGGAGAGAAACACTTTCTACCGGAAAGTTTTACTCTGCTCGACCGAGCAGAGTAAACCTTTCCCTGCTCTGTCTTTTTTTTCTTTTCTTCTGACATCGGAGCTGTTGTCAATCAGCAGAGGGGACCTGAAGTTCTCCATCAGGTCCCCTCTAGTGATTGACAGCAGCAGAGGGCGGGTGAAGTAGCTAGTTTGCTATTGGCTATTGCAAGGTGAAATAGCCAATAGGAATCTAGCTATACATTCCTATGGTGTTTTTTTATTATTATTCTGATGGCAGCAGAACCGCTCTGCCAATAGAAAACAGTTGGGCGGAGCTAGCTGTCACTACTAACTCCGCCCAATCCGTTTATATTTTATTTTTTATACTTTTTTACTGTTTTTCTGTTCTGCTCGGTACCACAGAGGTACCGAGCAGAACAGCCGAGCCGAATGCCGCTCGGCGGCATTCGGCTATTCACTCACTGCTGTTCGGCGTCTATGAGAATAGGCCAAACATCAGCGAGTAGCCTGCCGGAGGTTCCGGCTCAGCCGATCCAGATGTTGGATCAGCTGAGTCGAACTCATTCTTTATTTCGGGTCAGCCGAACATGCTGAGCATGTTCGCCCGACCCGAAGCCACACGAAGCAAGCCGATGTACGGCTGATTACAGCCGATATATGGCTGAAATCAGCCCTACAAACCTGAAGTGAATAGCCAAACTGCGTTTGACTCACTTCACTTCGGGTCGGTTACTCACTCGGCTGCCTACAGCAGCTTAGTGAATAGACCCCTTTGTTTTAGTTTTGGACAGAGAATGGTCAGAGTAGAGAATGGTTAAAATTGCTGCCAGGCTTTTTCTTGCTACCACAGTGTTGAGATTTCCCATTTCTTTCACATTGGATATCCCATCTAAAACAAGTGTTCCTATTAAAAACATTTCCCTTCTTCCAGTTTTGGTGACAAATGCAACATCTTGTTTCTCTGTGACAATGGTTATCAGGTGAATCTCCCCAGCAGGTACACAAACAGCAATTAAAAAATGACAAAGGTTATAACCTTCCCTTACTCTATCCAAAACAAAAAAAAAGTTTGTAGATGCAATTTGTAAATGTTTCACTTGTCAATATAATAAAACTCCCTCTGCTAGCCTTTTGCTAAAATATATTAACATATTAGCTTGCTAGGCCAAGTTCACACAGGCTTTCCGATCAGGTCCATTTTTTCAGGCGCACCTGATTGGGAGCCCGATGTTAGGATCTAGAGATGGGGCATCTATTTACATCTGGTTACCACTGGCTCCGGCCAGATCTAGAAAAACAAATGGATCGGAGATCCGTTTTGACACCTGTTCGTGCGGGTAAAGATGCCCGTCTGTATAGATCCGGCTTACCATAAACTAACATTGGTCCGGTAATGTCAGATGTCGGTAACATTCGTTCCCATAAGTAGGGGATCCTTGCACATATCCCCTTCTGATTGGACCATGTGAAAGGGGCCTTATGGAATTTTGGAAAGTCAACTACAGTATATATTACCTCTTTGAACAATAATTTCCAGATTGGTTCAATGTCAACTTCAATGGCATTTGATCCGCAAATTGTTTTCCTGCAGAAAACAGAAAATTCGTTTTATATGTTAAGAAGAAATATGTATACACTTGAAGGGATATTAAAGTCAGAAGGTTTTAAGCTAGTTCTAATTCTGATTATATCACTTACAATGGAGGCTGTTCCTTGATGTTTAAAAGTTTTAACGTCCTGCAGAATCAGCTGGCCCCCTGAGTAAGGGTTCTGATATCCTGTTTTAGAGCAAGCACCTTTCCCTTGCAGGGTCCTATGTTGCCACCCTTGTGTGTGCTAATAAGCTGTGCTTGTCTCCACAAACACACAGACAGCAAGTCAAGTTTCTCTTTCCCCTCTCCTTGTCACAATACCGTGCGCGGGTGTCCTCACACCACGTGCAGGTATCTATACAAGAGAACCAATACGTGGCCACAAATGCTTACAAACTATAATGTATTAGCTGCCGCTAACCACCACCCGCAAGTAACATGTAAAAATGTAAGGAACAATTACACCCCGGAGACAACAGGGCAACCCCTGGGGAGCAGGACAACACGGAGGGAGTCACTGATCAAGATACCTCAGGGGTAAGGGTCAGGAGTCAGGTAGGAACAGGATACAGGCAACAGGAACAGGAACAGGAACAGGAAGAGGATACAGGCAACAGGAACAGGATACAGGCTATGGCAACAATACTGAAGCACAGGCATCACTGCAAGGAGAGGTTAAATACCTCCCCAGACCAGCACCAGGTGGTGACTTATTTTTGTTTAAGGGGATTTCTGTTTTATCTTGAAAATGATCTAATCTTATCTTGTACCGCTTGCCAATTAGAGGATTAAAGGCATATTCCATCTTTTGCAAAAAATAAATGCTCACATTGATAGAAGATAGAAAGTGCATCTATTTTTTTTGCATTGGAGCCTGGAAAGCATTGCAGCCCCAATCAGTGGATCATGTGTGCAAAGCACAAGCTCCTGCAGACTATTGCCACAGCCCCAGGTCTGTATTGGGGAACGGACCTTCTGTAAGGGGGCTCGAGGAAGTAAACAATGGACTAGATGTGTGGTAATGTCACCGCACTTGTGTTCCATGTTAAAATCTATGAGCCCTTTAGGTATGGTGGCAGATGTGATTTGTAGTCTCTCCATTTACAGATCCTGTGCATGGGTCTGTGAATGGATGATGCAGCTGTGTAGGTGGAGCCACACTAAGCCACACTGAAAAAACAAACAAAACAAAAAAATAACAATGCTGTGGGAAGAAGAACCCTGTGATTTAGGTAAGTGGGGCATATTAATTCTCCTCTTTTCCCTCACTCCCTATTCCAGTAACAATGGTCACCAGAACAAACATACAAAGAGTTATTCACAAAAGGGTGAAGAGTTTGGAGAAGGCAGGAGAAGTGAACAATCTAGGACAACATAGCTGAACTGGAAAGTGAGCTGAATTGGAGAATGTTTCCAAATCAGCTATGTTGTCCTAGATTGTTCACATCACCTGTCTTCTCTAATCTCTTCACCCTTTTGTGACTAACCCAGACAGGGTGAATCCTCTAGGGACAATTCTCTATCCCAAACTGCATATAATTATACCATGTATGATTACATGTGGACTGCAACTGACAGATGCGGCCGCTGTCACCCTGTCATTAACTTTCACAGCAGCCACATTTGAAAAGGAATCTGTAGGTTCTTGCCACAGGAATCCCAGAGCGCCTCATGTAAATGCAGCCTTAGAATTCCACTGTAATGTTTTTAATTTTTTATGCAGTTATTACCATACTATACTTTGCTTGAGTGTGTTATTTCCTTTCCATCTAGTTTGTATCGTTGAATGACCCTTCCCATGCATGCTTCAGCTCGATAGGAATCGATAGTGAAAGCGCGCTTTGCCCATTCTGGCCAGCGATTGGTTAGCAAATTGCTCTTGGAAAGGTACGGCACCCCTGATTCCCCTGATCGCCATATTGTTATACATGAATACATGTAGATTTTTCTACATGAATAAGTGTGGATTGTTGTACATAAAAAAATACATTAAAAAAATAAGACCTACCCCGAAAATAAGACCTAGGGGTCTATTCACGAAGCTGCCAAAGGATCTGGCCGTAGCTTCGGCCGATCCTTCAGCTAGCTTCGGCCCCAGGACCCTACGGTTCAGTAGAACCGAAGAGGTGTTGTACGAGCTATTCACTATAGCCCGTACAGCTCCCGATCATGGCCGAGCCGAACGCATATGCATCGGAGCCATGCTGAAAGCTGAAGCTGGCCGAGTGGCCGGTCATTGGCCGGCCGACAGCCTGCTTCTGACAGCTGGGCGATTACTTTTTTCATTCTTTTTCTGTTCTGCTCTGAGGGAGCGAGCAGAACAGCCGAGCCGAATGCCGCTTGCCAGCATTCGGAAATTCACTCATTGCTGTTCGGGATCTTTAAGAATAGCCCAAACAGCAGTAAGTAGCCTGCCGGGGGTTCGGCTCAGCCGACCCAGATGTTGGATCGGCTGAGTCGAACTCCTTTTGCACTTCGGGTCAGCCGAACATGCTCAGCATGTTCGGCCGACCCGAAGCCACACGAAGCAAGCCGATGTACGGCTGATTTCAGCCGATGTACGGCTGAAATCAGCCGTACCAGCCTGAAGTGAATAGCCAAACAGCGTTCGGCTCACTTCACTTCAGATCGGTCATTCACTCGGCTGCCCTCGGCAGGTTCGTGAATAGACCCCCTAGTGTGTGTTTTTGAGCCCAAAAAAATATAAGACTGTCTTGTTTTCGGGGAAACACAGTAGTACCTGTTTTAACTTCCAACTTCTGTTCTAATTATGGGATATTATTGTTAGTATTATTATACAGGATTTATGAAGCGCCAAAAGTTTGCTCAGTATGTGCACTGGCAAAACATTTGTTTAGTTTTGTTTCGTTTTGATTCGGATTTTGCGTTATTTCATTTTTCGGGATTCGGGCCCGAAAGTCAATTTGTTTCGGGATTCGGTCCTGAAAGTCGATTAGTTTCGGGATTCAGATTCAGACGAAATTCATTAGCGGCAGTCTGTGCGTATTTTCGGTTTTGTCTTCTTTTCGTTTTCGTTTAGTTGCAGCAAAGTGACATTAAAAATATATATTTTTATGTCACTTTGCTGCAACGAAAATTCGTCCACAAACAAAAATTTGTACAGACTACCAATATCGAATTTCGTCCGAAATTTCATTTTCGGCAATTCGGATTCGTTTTCATTTGTCATTTCTGTTATTCGGAAGTTCGGATAAATCCGAATCTCCGAATAACGAAAATTCGTCCGAAAAATTAATTTTTATGAAAAGAATCACGCATGTCTATTGCTCAGCACAAATACACAGATATACACAGATCTGACAATCATGTCTGACAGGGCAGGAGACCTGATTTTTTTTCTGCTTCAGTTTAGCTTTCACTTACAGGTCTCCACCCCACCCCCAGTCTGTGATTAGACAGTTAAAGGAGAAGCTCACTCATCCTAGCAGCATGTTCCTTGCAATGCAACATATCTCAGTGGCTCCTTGTGGTACTTCACCCCCCCTAAGCTCTGCTGTACAATAGACTACAAGAGTCCCTAGCCAGATCAAATGCAGGTACTTACACTGCTTGCATTTTAAAAATACAATAAATGATGTGGTAATGATTACAGTACTGCATTATTTGTGTCTTTTATATCTGAGAGCTCTGCTCTGTTTTACCTGATGTTCTGCTCTTCACGTGTTAAGCCAGAACCAAATTTGGAATGAATGTCAAAGCAGGTTAGGCTGTCCTCAAGAACCCTGGAACATAAGTCACATGATGTATTATGATAATCATCTTTATATTAAAAAAGTTTTATTTGAGTGAAAAGACCATTTAGATGTTACATATCAGTACTCACCCTGCTCTCTGAAACTGTTGTGCTTCTTGATCCCAAACGTAAGTGACTTTTTGTACTTTTATCAGTTTAACCTAAGAATGGTAATGAAATAATACACTTATTTAGAAGTTTTATTTAAAGAAAAAAAATATGTATTAATCCTTGCAGTTCGAGCTACCCCTGCAATGCAAGGGTTAAGTGCTCATTTTCATCTAGGTGCAAAAAATAACAAAGGTATATTCACCCGAACCTTGCAGCTGGCTGTGTATTAGAGAGCTCCCTCCAGCCTGTCTCCTCCTCCACTCCAGTGATGCAATGTCCCTTGGTGTACTCACATCCTATACACCGTATATTGAACATGACGACTCAAGAACCTTAGGCCGCTGGAGCAGAGGGGGAGAGAGGCACATGGGACCAGTCTAAGAGCAAGCCAGGTCTGAGGATCAGAGGAGTGTAACTATGATATTTTCACACCTAGATGAAAATGATAACCTAACATTTGCAGCGTGGGGGTAGCCCCACTGCAAGGGCTAAGAAAATTATTTCGGCAAGGAGTTCTTCTTTCATTTCAAAGCACCATGCTGCAGTGCTGGAAGTATATTAATATTCAAATTTCAGAAAAACATTGTCAAATATTTAGGAGCTGTATTTACTAATAAACCTTTTCTATCTCTTTTTGTTCTAATCCAAATTGTTGGGCTTGTATGTTTTCCATGACCAGCTCCATTTTCCTTTTTAATAATAAAACATATAGGATAGTAAATAACAAAGTCATAAAGACTGGACCTGAAGTAAAGTAGGCTACATTTGATCAATCATGCAACTGTTGGCATTGTCTTTGTCATGCAGCTGTCGCATGTCATCTCTAAGGCCAAGAGCTGACCGACCATGTAACCACTGATCAGTCAGCTCTCAGCCACTGCTCCCCACAGGGATTTCCCCCTCTCCTCTCCGTTGCTCTAGCACTCACTGGAGGGACAGACAGGGGAGGGGCGGGCACAGCTGGCCCTGGCTCTAGACAGGTAGAGCCAGCTGTCAATCAGCAGCAGGGTGGATACTGACAATATTGATGGGGATCATTACCGACTGAAATGCCTGCTATCTGCTGACTTTGAGTCACAAGAATACCTTAGTAAATATACTCCCAAGAGAAGTAAAGACAAATAAAAGGTTTGGCTTTACATGTCTTTTAAGTTGTTTGCTTTGCTTTTACATTAGTGCAAACAGAATTAGCTCACCTGTTATATAGTCAAACAGTGTTTGTCCTAGCAAATAACAGAACTGGTAATGGTTTACACACAAAAATCTAATTTATTTGCATAGTTTCAAACTTCTGTGTCAAATGACATTTCTTTTTTTCTGGCAAATCATAAAATACAGGACAGTAAGATCAATGCTGGTTGCTCCAAGGAATTGTTTTTTTTTCTTTGTCCAGTGGCAAATGTCTGTACCAAATATACTTTACTGTGAAATATTTTAAGGAGATGGGTTGAGTTACCCTGTATAAACTTTCAAGGTTATACACAAAAGGGTGAAGAGTTTGGAGAAGGCAGGAGAAGTGAACGATCTAGGCCAACATAGCTGAACTGGAAAGTGAGCTGAATTGTAGAATGTTTCCAAATCAGCTATGTTGTCCTAGATTGTTCACTTCTCCTGCCTTCTCTAAACTCTTCACTCTTTTATGAATAACCCTGCAAAAGTAAACAGGTAAGTGGAATATTAGAAATCTCAATAGAAAAGACTGAATTCATGGTACAAATTACTATTTGCCAATATTAAACCAATGTTGAGCAATGCCATAACAAATGTATTAAAGAGCCTGGTTCTAGACCACATTTGAGGCATTTTGAGTTAGAACCACATTTTATGTGGTTGTGAATAACCCTGTAAATATTAGAAATTGCTTGACATGAATGTGAACACATGTCATAAGATTGTGTGTTTTGAGTCAAAAACAGCATCAAGTGTACTTTAGATACATTTTAAAAAATAAAAAAGGGAAAGCCACCCTAATAATTAGATCTGATTTTTCCCTCCTACCATTTAAAGAAAATACTAACTTCAAAGATCTGTGCAAGGCAACATACCTTTAGGCCTGTTTTATGGATGGCTTTAGTAATGATAGATTTCCCATCAGCAATCACCGGCTGGGCAGTGTTTGTGTTCATTGATATGTTCAGGTCCTGCAGCTGAATCCATTCTATGCTTTTCCTGAAATAATGTTCAAATTCATCCTGGGAAAAGAACAACCATTCAACTAATCAGGAACAGAAATCTAGCATAGCAAGCTATGTACTAACATCTGCTCAATTCCTGTACATAAACTATTAGTTTGCTTATAAACATATGTGTGACTACTATTTAAACATTTTAGATACATTTTGAAGATTGCTGTCTAAAATGTGAATAAATTGAAAAAATAAAAAATAAATAAAGATTTTTTTTTAAATATTTAAAAAAACCAATTGGGTGGAGCTAGCAGTGGCACTAGAGTCTTCTAGCGGGTCCCGGCCAATGAAAAACAACTGGGCGGAGCTGGCCATGATGCCACAGCCGGCCCCACCCAGTTGTTAATGTTTAATGACAGTTCAGCGTCCCCAGATGATTTGGGGACGATGATCTGTGATTACAACTGGGCTCTGCCCAGTTATCATTTGTGGGGCTAAAGGCCCACCTTCGGCAGGCCATTCGCCCTGCTTCGGATGACACTTCAGCTCAGTCGAGCCAAAGCAAATGCCTTCAGCTCGGCTGAGCTACTGAACCGCCTTCGGGTGCTGTACGGGCTATAGTGAGTAGCTTTGTTTGCGGGAGCCCTTCAGTTCAGTCGTACCGAAGGGCTCCCGCAAACGAAGCTAGCTGAGGGATCAGCCGAAGCTATAGCTGGATCCTTCGGCAGTTTTGTGAATAGACCCCTATGTGTATGGCTACTTTAAGGAAATGTTATGTGTTAAGCTTTCATTTTAATAGTTGGGTTAAATGTTTGGGTTTGGAAGTGGGGGTGGGGTGGGGGGAGTTAAGTATTAGTGTCAGGTTAATAGTTATGTATGGGTTAGGGTAAGGGAAAGTTTTTATTTCACTTTTTTAGAGGGATAAAGGCCCCACTGTTTTCTAGCACTGAAACCTAATGTCCTGATATTGTATTGTAGCACTCACAGCTTTGCTTACAATATGTCCAGTTTTCTACATTGTGATAAAGCAATATTGTACTTACTGTGGTTTTCAGCAGTATAATGTCAGCTTCCTGCATGCTGCATGGAACACAGTGTGCCCAGACATGCCATTCTGGCTTCCAATAGAAGAGAAGCCAAAGAAAGCCACAGGAAAATATATATCCAAGAATACAGGCTGCTCTTCTGCAGGACTGCTCTTTGTAGCCACGCGTTTCCTATGGAAATATGAATACAATACAAAGCCATATTACACATTAAATTCAGTTTGGGCCACTCATTCTTACTGTTTGAACAGTGAACAATTACATTTCACATTTGTCCCCCCTTTCCCCTCATTATTATCAGGGCATGGATTCAAGTTGCCCCCTCCCCCTGGTATGGACAGGACATCAGGTGTGCACCCTCCTGGGATGCCAAAAGCAAAATATGCAAAAATTGGACATAGCAGTTTGCTTTGTTAAATAAAGCTGTTGTGCTGTCTATTTACAAACATATAAAGATAAAAAAAATTATTTGTCAGATGTTGCTGTGAGCTAAAAAGTTCAGGGGGTGGT